TATCAAGTTGGTTAAAAGACCCAGGATGTGCATGGATCAATGCTCTGCAGCCGAAAAGCGTTTTACACTAAAACCTGAAGACCTGGAAAGAAATGACAAGTATTCACAGTGTGTGTTGGTGGATCATAAGTAGATTATAGAAGAGCTCCAGATACAAAGCAAAGGAACAGGAGAAAAGAAACAAAAGAAACAGATCAACATGGCCTGGAATATGGAGAAATTCCTCTCTTCCTATCGGCCCTTCACATCGTCTGATGTTGAACGGATTAGTGACCTCAAAGCTCCTTCGCTGGAAAGGTTGATTGAAATAAAAAAGTCTTTTAAGGAGACCTGGGATTCAAAGTTCATACATTTTTGTTCTTCTATTTGTGTGTCTACTGGTTCTAAAAACACCAAAATGTTTTGTTTGTTTTTTTATTAAAAAAAACATTCAGCTGTTTTTTTGTCAACAAGTTAATATTTTTGGTGTCTGAAAATTGAGTCAGGTACTGGGCCGTTACCTAGCAACCCCAACTGAGCCCAGCATGTTTGGTCAGCTGGTCTTACTGTTGTTGTATAATTGCGCATCAGCAGCAATTATACTTAAAGCCCGAGAACAGTGAAAAAGCAGAACTGAGCAGACTAAAATTTTGTTATCTAAGGATGATTTTGTGTAAAAAATGAAATATGTGTTTTGTTTTGCCCATATTGTGACCTGTTGAGTGAAGCATAGTAAGTTTCCTTAAAATTCTTCAAGGAACCTTAATGGGTTTCTTGTTTTGTTTTGTTTTTTGCCCACAGCTACTTTCGAGTTGGCAATTTTGGCTTGCATGACAAAAGGTTTGGACACCTCTGACCTGAGTTACGTCGTTTAAACCTGTAAAAAGGGAAATCCACAGGAGGTTTGCTTGCAGGCCAAAGAAGGAAGAGGAAACTTCACAATATCTATGAAAGGTGTATCAATCATCTTGCTGAATTTTGGGCAAGAAAACAAAAATCTTCCTGAAAAGCCGACTCTGAATCCCATGTAAGCATGACGTCCTCTCTGAGCCATCAGCTTGCCACAATGGCGCTGAGGTATTTTCCTCTGAGTGTTTCTGACAGGTGACAGATCGTATCGGAGCAGCATGCAGAGCCATCACGCGCCACGGTTCAGCTGAATCGCCCGTCATTGCAGATTATCTCACACAAATGGACAGCTCTCCTGCTGCGAATGTCAAGAGCGAGTTATTGAGCGGAATCGGAGGCAGATGAGTGTCTGGCGGATCCCGGGCAGTTCTCCACGCCGGCTTAGCTTCTCGATGTAAAGCTTGACGAGCTGCAGCTCAGATTTAGGGGGTTGTTTGTTCCTAGCAACTCCCACCTCACCTCTCCTCGGTTATTGAAAGAAAGTTTCTTTATGCACTTTCTTTCCAGCTTTGTTTATTTCTTTTTGCAAGACAAGAGGTTCAGTGGAGACTAAAAGGGATTCTCTTAAAAGCAAAGCGCCGTCGAGTCAGACCTTATGACACATTTTGTCTGCCGCCTTTGAGTAAAAGGAGATTCTTCTGCTGTAACCAAACAGGCAAATTGCATTCTCCGTGTCCCCGGGCTGTGGATGTTATTTGTCGCCTGCCGAAGCGACTTCACAGCCTGCCTTATCTTTTAAATTGACCACACAATAACAGCCGCCTCTCCGCAAAGTTGTCCCATTAAAACCGTCACAGGTAAACACTGCTGCCTGTTTCGGGCCTCCAATGCTATCAGACGTTCTCTCTCTGGGCCTCCGCATCCAGCAGACGTCAAGCTTTGAAATGTTAGTTATCAGTGCAGCAGATTCCTCCCCATTCATTTATTCCAGCTCTCCGTCGGGGACGTGGTGCATGTGCCGGCCTGTGTTTGCGTGCTAGCCTGTTTGTCTGCTGCTGAAGTGGCAAACTGCTAATGAATAATGCAGGGTGATGGTGATGTGTTGACAGCTCAGACGGCTGAGAGCTGCCGAGACGCGTATCGGTGATGATGTCCCATTTCCCTTCCACACTATTCCACCCTTTTATTACGACAAATAGCTTTTTTTTTTTTGGTAATTTCTCCTCCCCAACAACCTCCAGCGCGTGTGTGGATCAGTGTTTGAAGGAGTTTGTCGGGTTCAAAATCCAAACATTTTGAATAATGCAGCTGAAAGTTAGCAGATGATTGGTTTCTAAATTGATTCCTCTTGCTTACATTTCTGGATTGGATTGGTATCTCTGGCTGACGCAGTGGTTCCTCATTATTTATTCAGAGTTTCTCCTGACAGTTTTTATCCATATCACACAGAAATTGTTTAAAAATAAATGGTGTTTTATGCAGCTCTGGAAAAAATGTAAAAACCCCTCGTGGTTACTCCACCAAATATTGATTTCTGAACTCATCCTGAGTTAAAACATTAGTATTGTTCTTTCTAAATTAATATAAACTTGTTTTCTTTGCATTGTTTGAGGTCTGAATGTTCTGCAAATAAAAACTAAATTTTGCCTGCAATATGAGAGAATAAAAGAACAAATTTTCATTTTATTCAAACATAAACTTATAAAAAGTAAAATCAGATAAACTGATCATTTTAAGTGGTCTCTTAATTCTCTCTTGTAATGTTTTTTCCACTTTTGCACTTCTCAAATCGATGTTTAAAGTTTCCAGGAGAGAGTGAGAATCATGCCAAGATGCTAATAGGGGGATGGTTCTTTTTATCTCTTTTTAGCCAAGTTGCTGGATTTGCTAATACTTTTTACTTATGCATTTTCAGCTGAATCATGTTTTCCTAATATCCTGCCTGACCTGAGGATCTCTGCAGCTCCTCCAGAGTTAGCATGATCTAATCACTTGTTGTTAATCACCTGTTTCAATGGCAAACATGAATAAATGCACTAAAAAGCTTCATAAAGTCTTCAGTTTGGGCACGAAAGGCACAGAGATGAACTGTTGTTCCCATTATTTGCAGAGCAGAGGCATCATTACTGGGCAGCGTGAGACTGGATCATTACTACTCCCCAAAACGTGTTTATTTCTGAACTTACTTACTTTCAGCTCCCATCCCATTTTTCAGAGCTATAAGCACTGTAAAACAAACATAGTGCAAATCTCTCTCCTGTTTTCCTATTTGACTTCGCTGCATTTAATGAGCTTTGTGTTTGCAAACTGTTTTTAAACATTTAGAGTGAAAGCCGAGTGATGCTTCCGCTCGGCTTCAGGTCTGGGAGGAAAAGTAAGTAATTTGTCTGGCTAGAGGTCGTTTTCATGGAAAAGTTGATCTTTAATAGTGTTTCCTCTGAATTTTTTCTAACTTTAGTCCAGTTGTTTCCCATAGAACAGGAGAGTCGAATTCATTTTCGTTTTGGGCCAAATCAAGATCATGAATGCTCTTAAATGTCCAGTTGTAACTGAATGTATCGATTAAACTTGTTCACAAACTGTTAAAATATCAATGAATATCTCAAATTAAATAATATTGAACATCTTTTCAGTTCCTCCAGAATTTTGTGATTCTTTCTGTCATTTTTGCTCTAAAAATCAAAGTGTTTGTGGCACTAATTTGGAAATATTTGCGCTTATTTAAGACAATAAATGCGGCTTTTTATTTATTGCTGTATTGTTCATGAACTATAATCTTACATCAGTTGAGGCTGAGGCAGCTGTTTAGTACAAGTAAGAAAGTGAATGACAATTTTTGAGAAAAATCTGCAATAATCTTCTGATTATTAGTGCAAAACATGCAGAGATTCATTAATTTTGTGTGAATTTCCACAATAATTCTCAAGAAACTGGGGGACTGATTGGTATAATTTGACAGTAAACAGATTAAAATTGCATTAATTTGTATAACATAATATTTAAGAACATTTGGTGTTTAGACAAGAATCTATAGGGCCACATTAAAAGCTGCGGCGGGCCAGATTTGGCCCTCGGGCCTTAAGTTTGACACAAAGAATATTTAATTCCAGATAAATTATGAAGCGCTAATTTACTAGGCTGTTTCGTAAACTTTCAGTCGAATAAGGTTCAATATACACCTCTAGATAAAATTAAAAGAGCATTTAAAATGATCAGTTTCTCAGATTTGTTTGAGCAAAATGAACATTATTTCATTCTTTGAGCATTATTTCATTCTATGAACTACTGACAACATGTCTCTGATGTTTCAAGAAAAAATTTAGTTCTTATATGCAGACAAGGAGAAAAGGTCAAAATAACCAAAAAGATGCAGAGCTTTCATACCTCAAATAATGGAAAGAAAACAAGTCATTAATTTTGGGATCTGGTCCACATTTCTTCTGGCGTTTCTTTTTCTTATGGAATAATGGCTTAGATTTTCAGTCTGTTGTGTCTCTGGAGAGTCCAGATGGCCACAGGTGCTTTTAAAATAAAATAAAAATTAAATGTATCTACATATATTTCTGTTTTCGGTATATTTTGGCTCGCAGAGAGCCTCGGGGAGTCTGTGGCCGCCTGTCCGCTCCGACCTGCAGACATCAGACTTTTCTTCTCAACCTCCAGCCAAGATGAAACTTGAACTCCATGTTGTCTGGATAAAAATGATCAAAGCTGACATGTCTTAACTTTGAACATCCACAAATCAAACACTAATAGTCTGGGGCTCATGAAAAGATTATACATGTTGGTATTGATTTGCCCACCAGGTGCTTGAATAATTGAAGAGCTGCCTGTTGTTTCTCAGCCTTTCAGTAGTTTTTTGGAATCATCTCCAGTCAAGTGTAAAAGCTCCAAAACTTGAGTGTTAAATTGAAAATCACATTGAACTCGGCGTCTGTTCAAGGAGCCGGTGGTGTTTCTGCTGACCTGCTATTACCGTTACATTCAAATTTACATCCAGCTCTCAGTGGAAGCATTTGTTAGAATAATTTAACGACTCGGTTGAGCTGTAACGCATCAGCAAAAGGTGCAAAGGTCCCTGGAACAGCTGTAATGAAACTCTGTAATTAATATTTGAATTGTGATGGATAATATTCTGACCAAGATTTTTTTTGTTTTGCCTGCGTTTGCAGGATTCAGTCCGGCTCTTACCTGAGCACCGGCTGGTTCACCCTCATCCTGGCCATGGACATGTGCAAAGAGATCCATGTCTACGGCATGATAAACGACACCTACTGCAAGTAAGACACCAGCGACGCCGCACCTCACTGCCTCCTCGCCTCCTGCACTTATGGAAATAAAAACATCAGATCAAACTGCTATGTCATGCTGAATAGTTACTTTTGAGTCAGTTTTATCTCATTTCAACTGTGTTACGATAATTAGAGCAAATGGTTTTGGTAAAATTTTTTGTTTTCACAGTGTAGAGAACTGGAAAGTTCAGATACTTTATATAAAATCTGAAATTTTCCATGATTAAATATAATTAAGTAAAGAACAAATGCATTGAAAACCTGGAACACCTGCATGTTACTGTTTATATCCAGACATTTTGCACATGCACACAACGCTAGAGGTCAATAACATGGTTTCAATTGAACATTTTTGATAATTAGTGATATATTTCTTTAACTTGACATATTTTTTTGTATACATGTTTTCTCTGTCCTGCTTATTGCTTTTCTTGTTTTTAAAAACTTGTTTGAAATGAATAAATATCTTGCTATTCCACCACTGTCCATTTTGAAGGCAAGCTGTTGGGTTTAATGGTTAACTTTCCTTTCTGGCATCCATACTGGATTTTTTGTGGTGCTACTGGGTTTGTCTCTGCCTGTCTCGCTGTCCCTTCTGCTTTGAGTCTGTCCTGTAAACGCGCCTGTCGTCGTTTCCCTGACTGAGTGATTACCGCGGGGCTGCAGGAGGGATGACAAACACGCTGCTCTCTTTCTTACTCTCTCCCTCTGAAACGCGTCGCATTCTCGATGAACTCATCATCCACCTGAACCTCCTCTTTCCCCCCGAATCAAACACGCTTCCCAAATGCATGCTGGAAATCCAGCTTTTCATCCTTCCTGCGTTCCCCGGCGCGCAGCGGGAGCTGAGATAAGAGCTGCAGACACATGGCAGAGAGGCGCGCGTAATTCAACCGGCACGGAGGAGACTTGATGATTTAGTGAGGCAGTTACTGGATACTTCTCCCCCTCTCTGCCTGTGCCTCGTTTATTTCCCCCCGTCCTCATTGATGCCCGCAGATGTTGTGTTTTTCCATGTTTCCGAACTGACAACTTCCATGTTTGCATGAAGCGGTTGAAGGTTTTCAGATTCAAAGCTGCAGCAGATCCTGCAGTGATGGTGAAATCACTGGCAGGATGCAGCGAAGTACAAGTACTTTGTATACTGGAGTGTATTTTTAATGTACCTGTACTTAGGCCTGTCGCAATAAGCAATAAATAATCAATTAGTCACATGATAAATTAAAACAGGCTCAATTTCCATTTGCTGATTTATTGTTTTTCTCTTTTCTCTCTAATTGTACCAAAACTGTCTCTGTTGTTTTATTGATTGAATGATTGATTTTAAATATCTTCCAATTCCAGTGTTAAATGTTCATTAGAATTTAAAGTTTATTGATTTTTGAGAATATGTTCTTGCTTTTTTATGTCATTATTATCATTATAATACTTGAAAATGGTCTCTAAACAACAATAGTATCATTTATTTAAATTATTTCTGGGACAGTTTATCATCCAGCAAAATGTGTTACAGGATACTAGAAAACAACTTTATTTGGACCTTTTCTTAAGTAAAATATGGCAGAAAAACTCATCATTTCATATTTGTTGAATGATTTATTATTTTTTGTTTTAAATATCTGCCAAACTGCTCTGGTGACCTTTGTTTTCCAAACAATTTTCACTCCTTGTTGTTTTTTAATTTTTATTATTCACATGGTTATGAGAAAATCTTCAGCTGCTGCTCAAGTCACTCAACAGGTCGTTGCTAGGTAACCAGAGAGTGCGTTGCTAGGTAACCAGAGAGTGCGTTGCTAGGTAACCAGAGAGTGCGTTGCTAGGTAACCAGAGAGTGAGTGAGTGGGTTGACTCCACCAGTTTTGATTAGCTGACCTCTATATTTCCCAGAATGCTGTGCGGCTCTGGATTGGAGTTCAGGGAGTTTATTGGGTGTTATTTCAGCCACATTATGTATTGATATTGCTATTGATTTATTGTCCAGCCGCAGCGTTGATACGACAGTGGACACACTTCCGCTAATGCGCTGATAGCGAAGCTGATGTTTCGTTTAGCGTGCTTTAGCGTTCGTGCTACCCTGTTGTGTGGATGAGTGCGATCTCATCTGTGACTATCTTCACTGTCCAGCACTCACGTATTTCCTCCAGCTCTGGTGAAACTGAATGTATTTGTTAAACGCGGCGCCCCGCTGTGTGACGCAGAGGAGAAGCGGCTGTGTGTTACAGGGAACTGGCAGAACGCCAGTCGCTCTCTGCTGCTGTTACAACCGTTTCTCTTCTGTCTCGTTCATCCTCCCAATGCAGTTGTTACACAAGTCATCCGTTCATAAAGCTGTCAGACGCCATTAAAAACACACCAGAGGACACACTCAACCTGATCCGCTGCGCTGTGGTTTAGTTCATATTCTTTGTATTAAACACTAGAAACAGGAAATTTAGGAGAAAACACAATAACTTCCTTTACTCTGCAGTGAGACATTTGCTGCATGTTTTCACATTTACTCTTCTGGTTATTTTGTATGTCTCATGATGCACTAAATTCAAAGCCCTTCAGATAACACACTACATTTCATCGATATGCCCTGGTCTACATTAGTGTTTTTATTGTCTTATTACCGAGGACGTATGTCGTCCCAGCAGGAGTTTCTGCAGCTCTGAGTTAACTTAAAAACTCAACTCAGTTTTTTAAACACTTTGCATCTGCAAATACAACCAGACGCTTCATATATTATGAAGATAATTGTAATATTAAACGGTTTAATTGCCTAGAGCTGGGCAATTAAATGGCAGTAAAATAGCTGAAGTTGAATCCCAAATTACTCAAAATTGGTGTAAAGCTTTTGTGCTGTTATAAATTTAAAGATACTAAGAATAATTATTACTCAACTGTGCTACAAATGTTTTAGATGCAAAAACAATAAATTTATAACAATTTTATTTGATTTGTTAACATGAGGAGGGATGACCTCTGGAAACTTTTTAAAAATTAAAAATCTTAAAAAGTGTAACGGCACAAACAGAAACAATTTGCTTCCACAGTTGATTGTCGCCATATTTCATGGACTGGCTGCTTGACCTTTGATGACCTCTGGGAAACATTTATGAATATCTTTAAAATACAGTCAGCCCAAACATTTGACACCTCAAAATGTTTTTAATCGATAGGCATAACAGAAAGTCGACATGGTTAGGTTTTGAAAATAAATCTTGAAATCAAAACTAACCTTATAAAATCTTCAAATCTTATCTAATTGCACCATTAAAGGTAGTAAGTGAGTCAGTTTTATTTACACAGCACCTTTTATAGGTCAGAAAAGCACAAAGTGCTCTACTGGTGGAAACAAATGTTAAAAATACAAATAACATTAAAAAAAAAACCCAAATAAAGACAGAAACAGAGAAGTTATTCTGTAAAAAATAGTTTTCTACTGTTCTTAAAATAATCAGAAGCATCAAAACCAAATAATCTGAATTATTACATATTGTGATATTGGTATTGGCTAGTTTTAATTTTTCTGTGATTTTGTGATATGATTGTTTTTTTAAATTGCCCAGTCCCAAATAGTTGCTGTTCTGATGTCATGCATCCTTACTAATCACTAATATAACACAATAAAGGCATATTGCGTGTTATTTTTTTTAATTAGTAAGTATTTGTTTAACAAATATTGATAAACTTTTGTGAAGGTTAAATCCTATCACTCAGAGTTTAACAATGAATCTGCTTCTAGGTGAATAATTGAAACATCCTGGACAGAAAATGAGAGAAAAAGTGAAAGTCCAGTAAAAAAACCAAGAAAACGCTAAATGATCAAAAGAACAAATAGCTGCTTGAATATAATAAAATGTAGTCTAAAACTTTTGCATAGTATCAGTATTGTTCTTTTTAAAATAAAAACACAGATGGTTGAACCCTGTTGTTGGGATTTTCCTGTTTTATTCTCTGAAAAGCTTTTGTGTAAGACGAGTTGGGATTGAAAAGCATTTGTAAGATTTTGGCTCATAAACCTTTTGCTCACAGATGCAGCCGCAGTTCATCCGGGAGCTGCAGGATGGGGAAACTTGATTCCCCATGCGGCGTGTTACACACAGCCACCTGGGAGCGGTAGTTGCAGGAAAGTGTTTGGAAACGGATAAGAGCTCAGACAGAGCACTTGGCTGCTGATTGAATGTATCAGTTTATCCTGGCTGAAGACGTTAACGGCTCATTCAGAAGCATCGAAGCTGGCCGGCGCCCAAAGTGAGGCAAAATCCTCGCATTCACTCTGAAATCAGGCATAATTTTAATTGGTAGTTTCATTATGGAGCAAAATTTTATCCTGCTAAAGTTCAACTGTGCAAAATTTCAAGCCATCTACCATCAATACTATCCTTATTAAGTCCACAATCCTTCAAATGTCAAATTCACTCATTTTTAATTTTATCTTTTGTTTTTTATAAAGACCATTCATGTCGCATTGGCCCAGTTAAAGTCCATTTTTTGGCCTGAAAACTGATCTTCATTGATGTTCTTCATCCAATGTGACACATTTGGTAAAAATGGCAGCATATAGATGTTAAACTGTAATTCATTGGATCTATCAATTAACTAAGGGTTGGAACTTTAAGCTGTTAATTTTGATTAATTAATTCTGTCTATATTTTAGAGCAGTTCAGTACATTTTTATATTCTTGATACTAAAGTGTAGAGGAGGAACCTTCGTGTTGTGTTTATGGTACATCTGTAAATGTGATGCACAAGCACTGTTTGAAAAACAGCAATAGATGACAAAACTGATTCTTTTGGTCCATTGGGGGTTAATTTTTTTTCTTAAAAAAAAAAAGTAAAGGAACGCTAGAAAAACCATAAACGTGTTCAAGTTGTGCTAATAAGAGTTAGCCTCTCAGAGATGCTATTCTAGCCTGAAGTAGCATCTCAATGCTAACCATGTTGCAGCAGCTAACAGTCGTTGAATTGGAGCATTTAACTGTTGAACCTGTTATGTAATTTTAATCAAATCTCACCACTAAGTAGAAAAAATAAAACAAAAAAGTTTTAGTTGTGAGATTTAACCGTCCTACTATTTGGTGTCCAGACCTGGTAACTGGATGAACTCTTCCTTCAAAATAAAAGCTTTCATTACCTCATTCATGTGTAACGAGCTTCTCTGCCTCTTCAGTAGAGAAGGATTTTTGTCTGATAACTTTTCTCTCCTCCTCCCTTCAGGACTGAGGGCTACAGGCAGGTTCCCTACCACTACTACGAGGCGGGCAGCCGGGACGAGTGTGCAGAGTACCATCTGCACGAGAGCGCCCCCTACGGCGGACACCGCTTCATCACAGAGAAGTCTGTTTTCGCCAAGTGGGCCAAAACCCACTCCATCAAGTTCTTCAACCCTCCGTGGCAGCTGTCGTGACCCCGGCCGACCCTGAGCGTGACAAAATCTACACTAAAACAAACATCAGTTTTCAGATTTCTCCCTGTATCTGTTATTTGGTTCCCATTTGGTTCTTCAGAATTAAGTGAAATCTGAAGACTAAACGTGGACGTGCATCTTTCATACCTTCGGCTTCTTGGATTGTACGTTTTCAGCAGACGAATGTGGAACGCTCCCTGCTCCAACTGGCAGAACCAAACATTTGCGGCTCTGTGAGTCCAGAAAGAGCGGCGCCTTGAGACGAAAAGACGTTATCTGGCGTTAACTCGCTTTGGCTTTGGGGGGGAAGAACTCCAACCGGACGATTTGTGTCGGCTTGGACGTCTCATCAGCTTCTCTGCTGTTTCCTCTTGGAGTTCACCTCCAGTCAGGTTGTAATTACTCTGTAACAAGCTTCGTCTCTGTCGGTTTCAATTTGCATCGATCCGTTTAAAAAATCTTCAGCAAACAAGATTGTTTCACAAAGCGATAAAAAAAAAATAAAATAAAAATCAGGTTGTCGGTAAAGATGTAAATCATTTTTGTTGCGTTTCATCCTGAAGATGTCGGCTCCTTTTTCTTGCTATAATCCAGTGAAGCTAAATTTCATTGTGGTTTTGGTTTCAGTCTCTGGAGGGTTTTCTGATTTACTGTGCCAATGACAATGTGAGCAGCGCAGCACAGAGAGCGAGGTGCAATTAGAGAGTCCATCTCCAGCAGTTTGTGCCCCTACAGAGGAGGAGATTTATGTGTGCAGTGAAACCATTTGAAGTTAATTGTATCCCATTATCATTTTGTGCCTGCAATATACTTTGCAGTTCATTGTATAGACAAAGAAGAAGATGCATTTGCTCTCTTTCTCTCATCTTCTCATCCAGCTTTGTGCCTCTTTGTGTAACACGTCGCCGTGTGGACTTCATCCCGTTTGTCTCTGGGTGCAGCGCGCTCGACCCTCGCTCGGTACCTTCTCATCGCGTCTGTTACAGGACGGTGAAGAATAACCAGTGGGTCTCTGCTGGGGCCTGTGGGACCAGCAATGACAACTGAAAAGAGTCAAAGACTTCTAATTTAGGCAACTCAGAGGACAGTGAGATGCTTCTGCTGCAGCGTAAGCAGACAGGATTATCGTACTTTGCAGGTCGGCTGTAGTCACATGTGAAAACTGGGCTAAAAGTTTGGAACAAAATGTGCATTGTTAGCCAAAATTACTAAAATAATATATAATGCTTAGCCAATAAGGACCAAAAGTGATACAATTCAGTATACAAGTACAATGCTTTTTATGGCTTTTTAAAGCCACAATCATCAAAACTGCAGGAACTCAAAGGTTGTTTTCACACCTGATAGATTTGGTCAAATTGGAGACCAAAATTACAACAGATTTGTTACATTTTCAGCTGCTGTGGTTTGCTCTCACACTTCAACAATCAAAATAATTGATAAATCTGTTCCCTTCCTCGCCTGTGGAGGCGCTACACCAAGAACCACTGAAGTAAAAGACTCAAAAACCACAGAAGACACTGAGTGCAACTTCCTTTGTCACAAAATGTAAACAAAGACGGAGTGACGTCATCTTTGTTTTGATTGGATTTACCCAGAATGCCCTGCGCTGTAGTCCACTTCCTGCTTTTAGAGCGCTTTCTGGTCTTCTCAGTGTTCACATATGCATTCAAATGGCACCATCGCCAACAATTTCTTAAACTCAAATTCCTTTTCAGTCCCTCCAGGATTTTCTAAATTTTTTTGTGATATTTGTGCAATAAAAATCTATTTGTAGGACTATTTTGGAAATATTTGCTCTTATTTATTACTCGCTGTGTAGATCATGAACTATGATCTGACATGAATTAAGGCTGAGGCAGCTGTTTAGTACAAGTACGAAAGTTTTTGGCAATTTTTGTGAAAAATCTGCAATAAACTCGCAATTAGTGCAAAAAAGTGCAGAAATTTGTGGATTTTGTATAAATTTCCACAATTATTCTCAAGAAAGCGGAGGGACTGATTGATAGAGTTTGGTAGTAAACAGATGAAATCTGCATTGATTTGATTAATAACATAATATTTAAGCAGACTTAGTGTTTAGTCTAGCATCTGGATGGCCACATACAAAGCTATGGTGGGCCAGATTTGGCCCCCGGGACTTAAATTTGACACATGTGGCCTATGTCCACTTAGACGCAAAGCAGCGCGATGTTTACAAGAGTAAAAATGGGACGCCGCCGTCTTTGGATCAATAAGTTGTTAAGTAATCAGCGCCGACAGTATTGTCACAAGATCGTGCCAAGAAGAAGGAAGCGTCGGCTCATTTTGCTCCATTTGCTGTTTGCATCCGGATTCACTGCGTTTGGTTTCTTCTGGTCCCAAATCGTGACGCAAGCTGATAAAATGTGACTACAGACACATTTCAGATACAAATCTGATTTAGAAGCACATATTAAAGCCTCATAAATTGGATTTTTTTTGTCCAGGCGAAAATGTCAGAGTTGGACCGTTTCAGACTGCTGTGAAAAAATCTGATTCGAGTTGCATTTGGCTTCTGCGTGAACGTGACTCTAAATGTAGGAAAAAACAAGCAGCTAAATATCGAACCACAGTAATAAAGTTTTGGTCGAGGTATAAACTAACTGCTTTTCCGAAAAAGAAAAAGGCATGTAATGGATTTTCTTCCTCAGCCGCGGATAAAAACATTAACATGGAGCTGAAAGCCTGTTGGAAAACAAACCAGCGTTAATGTGCCTCAAGTTAAAGGGACCCCTGTGGAGTTTCCCTGCAAACAAACGGCAGCTTCAGTCACATTCAGTCAAAATGCGTTCTGTCAAGTTGTGTTCTGCAAACGCGGTAATTAAACTCCTTTAAGACCTTCTTTCAGCTCCCTTTAAGCCACAGAAATAACAGCCTGCAGAGCCGCAACAAGAAACACAAATGCAGCAGCGCATAATCCAGGAGACGATCTTTATCACTGCTGATAAAGTCATTGTTGGAGTTTGATCTGATTTGTTTCAACAACAGAAGTGGGTAATAAATAGACTTTAAAGGACAGGAACAGGCAACATTGGGATTTTCATACTGCAAATAGAAACTCACAAATCAACAAACAAAACAGAAATCTCTGCAAAATGCAGAATATTTCAAAATTTGTCCGTTTAAAAATTTGTCCGTTTAAAAAATGTGGGTTGTGTTTTTAAATCATTAACACATGAATAAAATGTAACGACATAATAAACATGATCAAATATCTATGAACTTTAAATTCTATTGAACATTTAACACCATAAGACATTTTAAATATTCAAAGTAAATGAACAAAAAAAAAACTAAAACAACAATTACAGTTAATTATGAAGTGTCTGTAACTCAAATTGACCTTCAAAACGTTCTGCAAAATATCACTTTTTGGTCTTAACTGTCCTAGTGGTTTGAAAAAACACCAGGGTTTGGAAATATGTTTGTTTTTTGGTGTTTCAAAATCCTCCTGATTATTGAGTCACATTCTATAGGCGCTGCGCCGTTACTGAGCAACACAAGCTCAGCTCCAGTACATTTGGTCAGCTGGTTTTACCACTGTATGTACTGTACAATGGCTGCTGGAAAAAATAAGTGCTTTCTCGTTGACTTACCATCCAGAAACCACTTGCTGCATTCTTGTTGGCTGTGCAGGAGGCTCTACTTCTGCTTTTCAAAGATGTACAGGTGTATAATTTTCCCGTGCGAGTGTAAACATTAGCAGATTATTTGTGGCACCAGTGTAAGTGTTTGGTCTAGACCCTCCAAGCCTTCCCTCATAATCCATGATGTTGTATTAAAATCATAACCGTGATTATTCTGTAGAAAAGTCCTGTATCTCAAAAAGCTCCAACTCAAATCCAGCCTTTCAGAGACATCCTGAGACATCCTTGTGAGACAACACAGCTGCTCCAGTGATTCATCCGTTCAGTAATTGTGCTTATTTCTCCAGCAGATGCACTGAATGATGAGCTCCATAAAGCTGCTGTATGCATTAATCCGTTTGTGGGCTTAGGCTCCTTATTAGTCTGCAGAGAAAAGCTTTAACTCACAAAGCTAAAGTAATTGTTTTAATTTGGCAAATAAATTCCAGTGTTTATCAGAAACTAAATGCATAGAGATTAACTTCCTGGCTACTGGCAATTGATAAAGCAAATGAAGGCTAACACGACTAAAAGCTCAGGAGGAGCTTTATTTTAGCTCAGTTTTCACTGAAATGGTGATTATAGCTTTGCCTGCAAATCGCGGCATACTTGTAGTTGCAACAGGTGCATTGCTGCATCAGCAAAATGTAAAATTGTCCTGTTTTAAATTCCTGAGCTGGACCGAAGGTTTTTGGGGGTTGGTCCGGGTCAGCGGTCCCAGCAACTGGGAGTCCAGGTTTCCGCTGAACAAGTTGAGGATTTCGTTCTGCTCCGGAGGGAAACCGCGCCGCAAAAAACCACAAAATCTCACCAAGTTTATTTGTGAGACATGAAAAGTCTGCCGGATTAAATTCCAGTTTTTAGGGATCTGTTGGATATTTAATTCATAATTCAGCTTTTCTTTTTAAATGTTTGAGATTCTCTTTAAATTTTGCGACAACACATTTATTTAAAACAGTACATCGTCCTGCCGCAATAAATCAATTAATGACATGATAAATTAAAATAAGCTCAATAGTTTCCATTTGCAGGAGTTATTGTTTCTCCCTTTTTGCTCCTTGTTTTTATGAAAAACTGGATGATTTTGTTTACAGAGATTTCATAAATCATTTTATGAATGAATGTCATAAAATAAAATAATTTTCTGAAAATTTTTTTTGTTATTTTATTACATAAAATAACATTATTTTACAAACTATATTTTAAACTATAATTTTAGTTTATAGAATTAAGCAGATTAAAAATTTCTTTTTGAGCATTTTGAATTGATTCAGGGTTTTTTCAGCACCACTAATTTTTACTAGAAAAACTAGCAAATATCTAATAAGACAAAACTAACTTACAAGTAACTTTTAAGCAAGATATAAGTTTAAGTAAATAATTAATTTGTATTGATCAGATTATTTCACTTATAACATGGGAAACGTGTCTTGTTGGAAATGAAATAATCTGCCACTTGAACTGGAACTTTTTCATCAATATTAAGGGATTATTTATTTAAAACAAGCTCATATATCATGCCTAAAAGTTATTAGCAAGTTAGTTTTGTCTTGTTTTAAATGTCTTAGACGTTTTTCCAAAAGTCCTTGGTAGGATTTTGTGTTTTTGCAGTGCAGCCCTCACAGTTGTGCTTGTTTCCAGTTTAACAACCATATTTCAGGATTTTCCCTCTCAGCCTGGGATTGTACCGTCATCTGGCAGCTCTTCATCACTCTTACACACTGTAACCGCGTTTCACTCGGTGCGGAAAGTTCTGCTGTTGTATCATCATTTAATGCGACTTTAACAGGATGTTTATTACATCACTTCAAGATTTACTCCAAGACTTTTGTTGTGTTTTTTTTTTTTCTTTTAATAACAGTTGCCTTTATTGTATTTGGG